TCGTCTCTTGTGCTGCGGACCGAGGGATCCGTGGCAGATGCAGCTGGTAATTAAATTGAAATTGCGCAGTGCACGCTGAAAAATCCACTGTTGATACTGTCGACCCTGGTTGAATAATGTATTAATTCGACGGACAGACGACTCGAACACACTCGAACGTTCCACGATATAATATGGGTGGGTAACATTATAATGTATATATACAGTGTATTAATATATACTACAAGACCGAGCATGACTATAGTTCCAGCGATCTGACGTGGTGACTTGTATACAGGTATTAGGTACACGACGATGGTCGTCGATAAGTCTCACTACTACCGTGGACACATTCGGTCGGAGCAACATGATACATAGTGAAACCGAATTACGGTCACAGACATTTGGTTCAAACTTGATACAAATATGAGCGGTGGGAATTTATTTGAAAAAATGTGTTGAAAATGTGTACGTACGTTATATTGAAATATGTGTCGCAGCTATTCGGAGGTTTTCGATTCAAAAGTAGTGAAAATGTTTCTGTTCCACAAAAACGTCCCCTATTGGGTGGTGGATGTCAAGGGAGGTTTAGCAGCAATATTAATATCGCACCACAGTAGTTTGGGGGGGGGGGGGTTTACATACAACAGTCTCAATATTAATTCTTCGACGCGTGCATTAATGTCTGTAGCTCCGTGTATAACCCAAGGTCTATATGATCGAACGCTTTATAATACCACCGCCCACAGAATAATAATAATAGCTCGTTTAATCAAATACACTTGGCCCACGCTTTGAAATCGAACGAGATTTGTCTCTTTGTGGGGTGGACTAAGGCAGACATAGGTAATTAAACCAAAATCAGCCGAACCGAACGTGGTAAAATAATATAATTATTCGAAGGACAGAGGACTCGAAATATTTGGGTATACGACGATGGATAAGTCTCACTACTACTACTGATTTCGGCGTGACACAAATAAATGTATTATTATTATACCCTGTGAATATGGTTGCCGCAGACTGCCGAGCAAAATATGACCATGGTATTCCGCAGGAGGAAACAGCTGCAAATGCACCAACACATAATATATTATTATTGTAGGGCGTCAGAGCATTGCCGGTTCGCGTCGACCCTTTTTTGGTACCTACCTATATATACCTAATTGGCCACATTTTAATTGGGGTCGCAATCAAAGTGGTTAATTTCCATAAACATCACGAAACGCGATACTTACGGTACCCGAGCACATATTCTCGTTCACCTATATACCATATAATGTACAGGGTGATTCGCCAAGCACGCTCATCCCGGCTGTATCCGTTGGTTAGGTTAGGTTAGGTCATGCATACCATGAGTTTAAATAAACAATTTTGTTTTTTTTTTAAATTTTTAAATAGACGTAACTATATTACGTTCAAATACTGATTTTTTATGCTGTTATTTAGTGTTATATGACAAATTTATTTTTTCAAATTATAACCGTCTTGGAAATATTAAAAGAAATAATGATTTGAATTGACTTACCAAGGGATTATTACTTGACTAAACTATAGTGATCCGGGTTATCTTTACAACTGAGGCGCCAAGAATATTTTGACATTTTATCTAGAGATACGAGTCAAACAATTTTAAAAACCACTGGATAAATAGGAGTGAGCACGATTGGCCAAAAAAATCTGTAGGTGCCTTTATAATAGGTATTACACCGATCGTTTATTTTAACAGGTGTCCTGTTGGATCGCTTAAGCTGCGAACGTCTCCGGTCGAAACCGATGAATGTGCAACAATAGTAATAATATACAGACACTGTAACGATTGAACCTATTATTATGATATTAGTCATCCTGCAGTGAAGTATTTGTATTCCTTATATGGATATGTTTTTCGCATACCTTGGGGTCAAAGCACTTGTGTATGAGGTTTTTATCAATAAATGATAGACTCGTATGCTTTTAAAATCTAGAATTATTGTTAGTATATATTTTAAATAGTACTTTACTGTAACGGAAGATGGCAGATAATAATACTGTATCGGTGAACTCGCTCGTGTCGATGGCGATTGTCAAACCGACTGCCGCCGTGTGTAATAAATTGTAATTTTAATAGTTTAATAATTTAGACGACGAAAAGACGTATCAAGAGTGTATGTTTTCGATTTTGTGTTGGCCAATTCGTATATTTAGTGTAAAATTAATTTATAGGGTGTAAAAAAACATCACACGACCTTTTAAATTTAACACCCTTCAGGCTCTACAACTTTGATCGCGTAGTTACACGTGACACGGAGTTCTGGGATACGCAAGCAATTCATTAGTAAACATTTACATACAAATAATAATAATATATAGGTCACGAGTGAAAATACACATTAAACATAATAATTATTATTGTTGATGTTCAACGCGCACCGTCGTAAAGCATATTATTATTATTTTATGCACATACGTTATAATAAAAAATATGTATATACGCAGTGAGAATTGCGTAGGTATAACTACTATCACATTCAAAAAGTTTTGAGAACCTTTTCTATTGTCCCACAGCCACCGCCACCGCCGCCGCCGTTATTACCCTCAGTTTTCCGACCTTCGCACCAAACACATTTTGCCTAAGTACCTTATTTTTATAGTTTATATTATTTAGTTGGCTCAATACTATTATAATAGCTCCGTTATAATAATTATACAGGAAAAGAAAAGAAAAAAACATTACAATATAATATTCTAGCAATTATTTTGAAAACAACTATTATACGCAGATCTCGCAGACGTAATAATATTTCAGTCCAACTTTTTTGGTAACCCTTTTAGTATATAATACTACGAAAGTAAATCATCCCGATTGTATATTAAATATCACAAAACTAAGCTTATAATATATATATATATATATTGTTTTTAATTATATTTCGTGCTGAATCCTAGTTGAATTTATTCATTTAGTTTTCAATTTTAGGCGTCTTATAGTATCACATTTGTCACATTCTTCAGAGCATATTTTAATAAAATATATATATATAACATTTATACGAAATATATTATTCGTACTGCTGACGGGTTAGTTTTAAATTATTAAAAGTTTTCGTATACAACATACATACGATGTTGCTACTCGACTACTGCTACTGCTACTGCTAATATAAATACCAATAATAATAATTCACTTCAAATATTAGTATAACATTATTTATTGTTGATATTATTATTGGAATAAATTATTTTGATAATTTAACTCAAATATTCAAAACTTACATTTTAAATAACAATCATTATTTACTGCACTCCAAGATGGAAATGCGTATTAGAAAGTCGAAGTTTATTTTATAAATAATTGCTATTACGCCAGAATCGAAAGATACTTACTTTCTAACGACCACCATTCAGCTTATTTTACCTTCGAAACGTCAACGTTTCACTGAAATCTCCATGCGAACCTAGTCATTTCAGAAAATGTAATTTTGAAGCACTATTTACTAAAAAAAATGTCTATCGATAAAAAATATATAAGCTAAATATAATACAATTTTATAGTTGTCTCGGTCAAAATAAATTAGAGCTGTGTAAATTACATAATAATAATTAATTTGCATTTCAAAATCAATAAAATCAATTAAATTTACATTTACACTGTTACGTACCTACCTATTTAATGTACCCATCTACATTGTGGTTATAAATTTAAATTGTTAAATACTGAACAAGAAACGTTCAAGTTGAATACAGCAGTTTAAATATATTTAACATTTTAACTTGTATATTTAGTCGATTGTAAATTATTGTTCGACAAAACGAATTAAATTTTTAATCGAAATGCCAATAAAGAAAACATTTAATATTATTAAAATGTATAATTACACTTAAACGTTATACTTTTTATTTGTAAGTTCATTGGAAATTTACAAAAAAAAAATGTTCATAAATTAACAAAAAAAATATTTGTTTGCTTACAAAAAAGTACTTTTAAAAATCTTGATAAGGATGATTAACGTTCGGTAATTATAACGACTAATATTTATACTTGTATTTATAGCAGTTGGTAGTTAAGTTGGGTAGTTTATACCCTTAAATAATTTTTAGGTACATGTTTTTGAGTGCGACGCGTATACAAACATAATATTATTTGTTTACCAATTGTATTAATTAATTAATTATACTCTAATTTTATCCTCGGAAGTGTTTCACCTATAGAAATCATTTTAGTAGGTATGTTAATCGCTACAAAATGAATGAAAAGAATCAATTTGTTTTAAAACTTCTCCTTTGCAAGTTTGTACAAATTAAACTTTGTGAGTAACTTTGTCAAACAAAACTTTGAATACATTTTTTATCACCTACACGTACAAGAATAAAATAAAATAAGCCAGAAGTCTTTGAAATTCGAGTAATTCTCTTGTATGGGGAAAAAAATAATGATAACAATAAAATATTATATTTCTTTTCTGTGATACGCAAACGACAGTAATCTACTCAAGGGTGTACCTAAATTGACTATCCAAAGCGCCGTCTTATCGTACGAACAAAACAACAACAACAACACAATACGATTATAATATGATTATTTATGCACCAATGGTTTATTCAATACAAACATTAAATCATAACAAACATCATTGGCGTCTTATCTGAAGTTTATTCACCTAACTAAGTTATTTTTTTGGTTAACGATTATTCAAAAGTCGAATAGATATTATTGTATAATATGTATTATTAATATTTTTATTAATTAGTGTACATTTTTAGTTGAATATATTATATTATAATATTATACAATGTAATAATATTAATAAAGTCATCGAAACTTAACTTATCATAATAACCGATAAAATACTCTATGGATTTTTTTTTCTAAAATCATTCTATATAATATACAACATAATACATACATATTTATACGTAGATAGTTTTTGGAGTCCAAAATAACGCGTCTTAAAAATGTTACAAATTTACATAAAACGAAAATCAACGAAATCACTAATGCGGTCGTTTATTTTGTATTTGGGTTTTGGATTTTTACATGGTTATCTCATCCATACGCTGACCAATATCACAATCAATAACGAATAAGAAGACGTGTGTGATGCACCTGAAAAAAAAAATCAAAAACATAATATCAGTAAGCTTTATCGACCGAGTAATGTAACACAGTAATAACAATACAATTATAATAATATCGTATTGTTATTTATTATTTATTATAATGATACCAGGAATCAGTTTTGTTCTCGTGAATTGGATACAATATTGTTAATATTATTAAATATAGCCATTGAATTAGTCCGGTACCGATGCGGGACTTAAGCTATGGTCTGCAGTAAGTTTTAATTCCCCAACGTACCCCTTGTCGTTTTGCACCCTTCGGTATGTATTTAATCGTGAACGGAGAGGGATGGTTAAGCGCATTAAACAAGTCAAATATACCATACTTAATATTACTTAAACTCCTCGAAAATGTACGTTTTTTTTCGACTTTAAATGAGATTAAAATTCGAAATCTTTAATATTATGGAATGGATTATAGAAGCGATGACCGAGGTACTTGGATGTGGTAAGCATTCGGTAGCAATTGATGGTACCTCGTGTACTGTTACTGCCGATATGAAACTAAACTGTAATGGGCGTTAAATATTATATTTTAATTTAAATGAAGTAGCCAATCAGATCGCATCGCTTATTACACAACCTATGATATTACAGCTGTGATGTTCATTGTTATTATTATTTTAATATCTAGGCAATTTTATTTATGATTGTTATGTAATTTCTAATTAAATTTATATTAAAATATAAAACACAACTAATTAAATTAATATTAAAATATGAAAACATTACTATTTATTGGAAATTTAAACAGAGGAATAATATTATTTCTTGTCAGGTGGCTATGTTGGGAGCCTTCCTACTCTACGATTAATGTTATTTTATGTCACCACACTTGCTTATTATAACTTGTCGTATAAGATTGCAAGTATATTATTTTTAAATAAAAAAAAAAAGGAATAATATACCAATGTAAAAAGTATTTTAAATTAATATATTATAATATACCTAACTGTAAATAATTTAATAAATAACTGGTTCAAAATTATCCTCTACTGTAGTTATCGTTTTTTGTTACTCAATTATTTTACTTGAAAAGAATTTGAGGATATTAGATAAGTTACAAATTATAATAAAAGCCTTAGATATAAAATATAATAATAATGTATAATTAAAACTTAAAATAAAATAAATATTTAATTTATATTTATACTGATTATAATTAATATAAATTTAAATATTAAATACCTCATTCAGTCGGGTTTCGGCAGCCAAAGCGATAGCATGTGCGCTGTTCCGTAATGTGTTACGTATCTTATCAGTTTACTTTTAATTGCCATGGCTAATGTGGTTTCTCCTATCGTTATAATTAACAAAAACACCGTTCGCAAATCGAAAATGAATGCCACTCCAACAAAAAGAGCCCTCTCATCGTCATCGTCATCACCAAACTCTCCGGTCCACGAAGACAAAAAGAGCAAAGTTTTTGTTTCCCCAAACCGTTTTGAAGTCTTAAGAACGGAAGACGAAGAACTTGATATCGCCAACCTCCCCGTCTCACCATCCAGCGTAACGTTGCCAGTTCAGAATAACCTCAAACTTCCTAACATCGTCCTAAAAAACGTAAGTGACTTTACTACTCTCAATAAGGATCTTACCCGTCTGGTGGGCCCAGAGAGCTTCACCTGCAAAGCTAAAAAATCCAGTTTAATTTTACGGACAAATACACGAGCTCAGTATGTAGCCATTAAATCTTATCTGATCAATGCCGCCTGTGATTTTCACTGTTATCAACCCCGCGCTCTCCAACCGTTCCGCGTTGTATTACGTCACCTCCACCACTCTACCACCACCGAGGACATCATTAATAGCCTAAGAGACCTTGGACACAAAGTTATCAGCATTTCAAACATACTCAATCGTACAAACAAATCGCCACTTCCGTTATTCAATATTTCCCTAGCCCGCAACAGCAACAACAACGACATTTTCAAAATAAACAAATTGTTTAACTCAATTGTGAAATTCGAGCATCCGATAAGGCCACTTGGTCCTCCCCAATGTCACTCTTGTCAAATGTATGGACATACACGCAATTATTGCCACCAACCTCCGCGTTGCGTGAAATGTGGGTTAAGCCACCTCACCGAAGATTGCTCTAAACCACGGGAAGAACCCGTTAAATGCGCAAACTGTAACGGTAACCACACTGCCAACTACAAAGGTTGTCAAATTTTTAAAAATTTACTAAAGCGCACCATTTACAAAGTCGCTTACAAAGCTGACAAAGTTGAAAAACCGAAAAAAACACCCCAGCCCACCATCTGCTGTACCTGTTGCACCACAAATCTTCAACGTCCCCAGTTACAACTCAAATCAAAAACCGACATCTTATGCCAAAGCCACAGCCAACTCTTCATCAGTCAATCAACCTCTCCACATCATCAACAAATTTATTGAAGATTTAAAATGTATTTTAAACCCTCTTCTATTGGCTCTTACTTCCCTAATTAACAAAATTACACTTCCCATTTCGTCCACTCCATGACATCCCTCACCCCAAGTTAGAGGGTACCCACACTGGTGGGCCTCCCTCCTCAAGCCATTCATGTTATTATTGTTTCTTTCATTACCTAATTTACTTATTGTATCATAAAAATTACAGATTGTAAATATTCTATTTATCTAATAAAAAAAAAAAAAAAAAAAAAAAAAAAAATACCTCATTGTTATAATATAGGTAATAATATTAAATCGTTTTTATAATTTTATCAATCTTCAGTTTTCTTTTTGAAGTTTCTAATCAAAAAATTTGTTTCATCATAATAATAATCATTCTAACTGATTTACAAATTAAAATTTAAAAACCGAGTTAGCCGTAGTTCAAAACTGTAATTAAAATTAAAAATATCTCACACCTATAGACATCAAAAAAAGTGGAACGTTTTATTTATTTCATTAGTGTACTTTATATTAGCGTAATGATATAATAATTAGCGTAATTTTTCAATATTAAGACATTTATTTTATCATTATAATAATCATTCTAACTTATTCAATCATTTGTATAAAAAAATGCGTTAGCCTTTTAAAACTACAATAAACCTTTTTATTAACAGTAAAAGCTCTCACGCCTGTATACATAAAGAGTGGTACATTTTATTTATTAAATTTGAGTATTTTATTTGCATATTGCGTATAGGTATATTTTTAACACTTAGGCTTTAACAAAACGAATTCTTTTTTCTCAGTTTTTGTTGGCTTCAAGTTTTATTCATTATAATTTAACCATAAAAAGTCATCTTGTAAAGGAATTTTCGTAGTTATCTTTTTTCCCTGTTAACTCGTTTATAAAGTACATTTATTTAAAATAATTGCTTTTAAGACGCATATTTTTGCAAATCGCACTTGACAAGCATGAAAAAGTCCCGAACAGTTTCATATTTTGGATTATAGTCTCTGCGCGGTACAAAACCAAAACGAGGAAAACTCAATAGTATTGGGTAACGATTTTCAAAATACAATTAAATAGGTACACACACAAAGTAAAACATAGCGATAGTTGTAATACACAGAGCACAAACTCTTTTTTTTCAACGAATAACATGCACCAACTATGTTATTTATAATTATTAAACTAATATTTTTCATCCGTCGTCAATCAGATATATTTTTGACGTTAAGTTTATAACTATTGATTATTTACGGGTACGTCGTAATTATTATATATGTATTTTAATATACAATGTTGACAGCTATACAAGTTTGTACATGTCGTTGAAAAAAATATTGTTTTAAATAAAAATATATGAGTTTTCAAACGGAAAATTACAGTATGTAAACTTTATCGATGAACCATTATGATAGTAATACATAAACACCGAAAGTAAAATTGTATATAATATTTATGACGGATCAGATTTTAATGTTTTACGCAGAGACCGAATTAATATTAATAACAGCTGCAGCCCAGTTATAGTTACTTTTTCGTATAAAAAAAAACACAAAATTTAGTTTTGCATCTAGAAACACTGCCGTAATAAATTATCCTTGAGTATATCGTAATTATTACATTAGGTAAGTATACAATATTGACTATTTAGAAGTTCATATTATACTACAGTGGTGGCCAAACCATGGCTCGAGTCTTAACGTTTTTACTAATATAATATTATGTATTATTTATTTTTACTTATATTATATTGTGTAGCTCGCGATTCTTTTATCGCTGGCCACCTCTGATATTATACTGTTCCAATGAAAAATAATAAATAGGTAATAATAAAACATAAACATTAAAACGGAAAATTACAATATGTGAACTTTATTGACGAACGATTACGATAATAAACACCGAAATTAAAATTTCATATAATATATTTTACGCCGGATTTAATATTTTAATGTTTCGGGCGGGAGAGGGAATTATAATAACAGCAGCCGCGCAATAATTACGTTTTCATATAAAAAAAAACACACAAATATAGTTTTGCATCTAGAAACACTGCTGTAATTATCCTTATTATAATAATAATATACACTCGTATAAATTATAAAGCATATATATATGTGTGTGTGGGTGTGAGTGTGTGTGTGGGTTCGGAAGTGCCGACGAATATGCAAATGTCGGAATGGCATTTATAGTATGTATGTGTGACACGTTTTATGTTACTACTGCAGCGGCGCCGGTGTTGGAGAAATCATTTTTACCGTTTTATTTTCACCACCAACGACTGCAGCCTATACACGTATCATGGTCGTGGTGAAAATGATATATACATATACATACACGATGAAACAATAAAATAGCTATAATATAATATATAAAAAAAAAAAACAGATCGAGAGTAACGGTTATAGACGTTACGTTTTTGTCAATATATACGCCTCCGCCGTCCTCGTGTTTTATACATTAACTCCACGCATACGATACTACTACCTAGGTAGAGATATATGTATAAAACGTACATAAAACACACGCGTGGAGTAGTCATACGCGTTGAATATATATAGGTATAGGGTTCGAAACGTTTTGGCGAAATGATGTGCGCGTTTACTGCCCTTTTTTTTTTTTCTTAATACCAAACGCGTTTTCTTCGCGATCCTTTATTAGTAGACACATCGAAAGTGTCGTTAGACAAAAAAAAAAGAAAAGAAAAGAAAAGGAAACGAAAAAACCACACGAAATAAATGGCGACTATCACGCGCGCGTGTCGTTGCACACCGTCGCAACCCATATCCGTATTTATATAGGTGCATTACACACATATTATATCATCCTCATTCGGATCTTGTTTTTCCATTCTTTCCTCTGCGGTTTCCGTGGAAATAACCTTTCGTTATGTCGTTCGACGTATATCCCCGCCGCGGTGGGTCTTATAATTTTATATACTCACGCTGGGATCGATTTTCGCAGAATTCCTCTGTACGACACGCGCCTACATACCAAGGGTATGGTGTTAGGTACCTCGGATATAGTACATATGCGCTCGAAGGTGAAAAAAAAAACTGCGAATTCTGCGGGATTTTTTCGGGGCTTGTCTCCATCCGGGTGTCTTTATATATACTTAAGAGAGGCAGTCGCGATGAATCATTGCACTCCGAAAACGGTTCTGCACAGAACCCGGTTTATCGTCTATTTGACGTTTCGTCGATTATTCTATCTATATCGGTAGGTTTGGCGGTAAGGTCCACGTGATGTGTTCAATACATTATGTATAAAAAAAGCTCTCCGAGATTGAAAAGTGTTTTAAGTCCGTTTCGAGTGTGTGACTAGTGAAAAAAAAAGAAAGAAACCTGTTGCTAAGACCCGGTGTATATAAATCGCTGGTTGGGGGATTTTCAAACACAATAAAACGTCTTCGTCTCAAAGGCAGTAAAGGTTTAAATATATTATTATCTGAGCGTGTGGCAAATACAGGGTGGCCCGCTGAGTTTTCCCGGTTTTTCCATTTTTAACACTATATAACCAAAGGAAATCACGACGAGCCGTACACTGTACTACCCTCTACGAGTGGTTTCGCGTCCTACGCAGTATATTATCTGCACTGGGTATGTCGATGGTACAGACATGGTAAGTGACATTTTATAAAATGTTCAGGCCAGGCATTTGAAATTGTTTACCCTCATCAAGTACAGTATTTATTTCAAACAACGACGTTATCTATTGGATTAAATATTAACCATACACATACAAAACGTGTACCAGGTGGCTAGTACATATGAAACAAATTATGGGGAATTTTATGCAAAGTGTAACTTACAAATTTCAGCCAAAATAATCACTATAAGTTACTACCACTAATTATATTTTTTATTCTCAACTTTGGGTGAACCACATGCCAACGATCGTAGCAGTTATCGTCAGACCAACGGTGAAAGTCGAGTGGTGTCACCTTCCACGACGACGGAATTCGCTATGATAGGTGGCTGGGGGGAGGGGGCGTAGTAGAGTGGTTTTCGGTTAGAACAGAGTGAGTATTCCTTAAAATATAGATCTAGATCGTTGCGTTACGGAGATGTCGGCCGAGTTTACACAGACGTATATTATTTGCACGGTGCATATCAATGGTCTGGTAGGTGACATTTTATAAAATGTTCAGAGCAGGCATTTGAAATGGTTTACCCTAATAAAGTAGAGTATTTATTTCGAACAAAAACGTTATTCAACGGATTAAATATTAATCATAGCCGTACCAAATACGCACGTTTCCACACCACCGTGCCCATTTCAATTTTTCAACTTTTTCCAACACCAATACTTAATGCTCTATTCTAGCCAATTCCTGCCACCACTCCCGGAAATCCTGCTCAGGCCACTGTATTCCCAAGGTATGAAGCTCGCCATCAAATATATAGTCTATCTTAAATCATGGTATGAAGTATTGGACTCTAAAAGTTGAAATCGTATCCGTGAGGTGATAGGATGTTGGCAAGATATAATATTCCTCTTTGTTACGAAATTATAAAAACGGAATCAATCTATTGACCACGGCCGTTTTCATTTATTCAAAGATATTTGTTTGCCAGTTTTAGACGTTTCAGTATTGTATACATTTTACTATGGACTAAAAATTATTTGAATTTTGAAATTTTTATATCATTTATAATATCGATATAATTTAATAAATTCATAACGTATGTCATGCCTTCCCCTCCCCAGGGGACCTCGATACTGTATAAAGGCTACAGTTACCAGATTTGGCCGAACAGTGTCTAAGGCCTGATTGTATGAACCAAAATATGTGAAATTGTATCCAATGTTTAACTGATTCCAGTAAAAAAAAGTCACTTACCATACCTATGCACACTATATATTTTATATTCTCAAACTCTCAGTTATCGTCAGAACAACGGCGAAAGTCAAGTGAGGTCGCCGCCTCCCACGATGATGGAATTCGCTAAGATAGCTGGTCGGAGGGGGGGGGGGTCGATGTCGCGCAGTTTTCGATTAGAACGAAGTGCGTATTCCTTAAAATAGGTCTGCGACGTCGTTGCGTTACGGAGATGTCGGCCGAGTTGCTGTGTGATATATGCGATAGCAGCAGCTCACAAACACACGCACGCAAGTGCGGTATAGTTTACGTATTATATAATATATATATATATAGTATAAAACAGACCATCGAGCAAATAAATTGCCTTCCACACGACTGGAGACCATTACATTACAACGACGCGAAGAATGTGCCCTTAATCCCCCGTAAACCCATTTTACACTACATTTTTCACCCGCTCGCTGGTCGAGAAAGTCTATGTGTGTGTGTGTATGTGTGTATAAAGTGTACGTAGTCTCCTCCCCCTTCCCCTGGCTCCCGCAGCACCATCATACCGACAGATTTTTCTTGGCGCGCAGATTTTTATTTTTCTCCCCCGGACCCTATTCCTCCCCCGACCGCGCCCAGAACAGTCGACAATGGGCGCGTTATACAATATAATAACAATAGTTATTATAATGACAACAACAACAACAATAACAATATAATACTCGGACGATATATAATAATATTATTGTATACGCGTATGTGTGTGTATTGTGCGCGCGTGTCGTTTATATTTACCTGTAGACGAGAACGTGCCCAGAATGGAAGCCAGGCGAGGTTTCTCCTCGTCCAGCACCGTCTCGGCCGACGTTTTGAACACGCCGTACAGCTCGGCCACGCACCGGATACGCATCTTGCCCACTTTGAAACTGTTCACCTCCAGCTGGAGTCCCACCGTGTTCGTCGACCGCCACGCGTCGTCTGACGCCGCCAGACCGGACGAAGACTGGCCGTAACTCGAGTTCATCTGCAACCACACCGCACACGACCGTAATGTTTATTATGGTATAATAATATAAACGTCGATATTATTTATTATCACATTAATTATGTTATACATAGGTGCGGAATGTGTGATTATATCACGTGCGCGCCAATCGATCATCGATAGGTGCCTACACGCCTCTGCGGCTGTCATTCGAGATACAATTAATTGCACGTCGTCGCTGTAATTATAACGCCACGCATCGTCTATAATATACCACGGTATCATGACATCGTGGTAGTCATAGTACCGCGTAATTGGTCAACGGAAACTTCCGTAAGTAACATCATCATCAAGTCTACCGAGCGTTTTATTCGAGGCCGACGATAACATTACAGTGACTATGTTTATATTGCAATTTAATATTCAAATCCTAACTGTATATCGCTTATTGTTATTTTATTATTTTAGATTCTGATTGGAGCGACGAATGTTCAGATTTTACAACGATGTGTTTTTTTTGTCTGTCATCACCTTTTATGGAGTAGCAAAATGCTTCGATTTTCTTCAACAGAATCTTTTCTGGTAGGAAAGTGAATCTAGTTGGTACTTTGGGGTTTATGTATTGTTATTTTATTATTTTCGTTTTTTGTTTGCTTAAAAATTCGAGATATTATGTACAATTTATAAACAGATAAAGAGTCGTACTATATGAAAATTCATAAATCGTTATTATGTTTATGCCTAATAAGTACAATTTTTTTTTTCTAAACCTATCCAAGAGAATTGACAAGTACAAATAATACCATGGAATTAAAAAATATATATTTTATCGAATTCTCGAAGTGTACGTCTACAAAAAAAAAAAACAATAAAACATAACATAGCGAATTGAGCCTGATAAAAAATAACCACCGACGAAGTCGGATACACTGTGCGATATCCATATCGCGGACCACTTGTTGTCGAAATTATAATTTTTTTCCGTGTTCTCGTGGTCCAAGTATGCGCATGACCTACATATAATTTTATTTATTGTGTTCCCGCGACCTATATTTTATAATATTATTTACCTCCGTGTAACGCGTATCGTATACACGTACAGGTACAAAACGTTGTCGTAGTGTTTTCGGCGTCGATCGCGGTTCCCGCTGGGGAGATATGGGTTTTCATATAAATTCTTTGATATCAAAAGCAATTTAAATGGCTAACAAATTATTTATGGTCAGGACGACGAAAAAAAAAACGAAATTCATACATTCACAGTATTATAATATATTACTAGGACGCGTTTATTGCCCTCTTGGTACTAGAACGCGTTTCAAATGCACGTGAGTTTTGACGTTTATGGCGGACATTTGTTTAAATATATATATATACAATATACCGCGTGTTCAGACACATTTCACGGTCGGGTCTATATAATTTTCACATTGATATCGGATGCTGAACTCGCAAAGTTCTTATCTGTCGATTTGAATTGGACTTTTGCTCTTTCACGGAGGTGTACAAATACGTCGCGTCACTTTATATTGTATTGTATTTTAACAGAGCACGTTTGAAAAAAAAAATTATAACAAACCCTCTAATAACAATCGATACGTCTTCCCAGGAAAACGACAAAGTTTTAACGATATTTCTTTTCTTTTGCGTATCTGATATTATATTATTATATAGGTACATTGCAAACGAGTTTTTGCTTTGTTCACGGGCAATTGTGTTTTATTAGCTTCGTTAATTTGTTTATTGTGTACTCTTAAAATTTGCTACTGCCGATAAATGCTCGTGACGTTTGTTTAAGTTTTTGTAAATGAACGACCGCAGTCGTGGTATTTTACAATACAATAATAATATATCTTAAGTACATTTATTATTATTAATTTTAAATTAAATTTCATGCCTGTCACGCTGGGACGGGGAAAGAAAAATATTACTAAAAATAAAACCTCAGTAGTGTAATAGCTGATTATTAGAAACTAATACTAAAACATAAGTAGGGGAAAACTGAATATATTATGTTCCATTTACTACAAAAATGGGGGGTCGTATAAGATACCTGTGTTGTTTTTATTTTCCTTTATGCTTCACGATGATAATGTATTTTTTAAATTATTTGAGTGTAAATAAAATACATATTATCCGTGTTTGAAATGTGTTTTTTAATGATCTCTCAACGATTCCCTTTGATGTGCGCAGAACATTATTCTGTGGGATCGTACCTAATAAGCAAAAACACATTGTTGTGAACCAAGAAAAAAGGATATTTCCAATCATCCGATATTATATCTTATAATAACATATTATTTACATTGAATCTGTTAGAGATGAGAGAATAACGATTACCTACTAACAATATACAAAGACAAATACGGTTATGTGACATAAAGTCGATTGGGGATATTATAGGTACATATTACATTATAAAGTCGGTGAGATCGGTTTATAACATTAATATTAATAATTGGGCGTATTAAAAATATTTAATTAGCATTCTAGACTGGACACATATTTTTTTAGAATCATTAATTTAATAATTATTAATCACGTCGAATATGCACACTCATATTGTGCCCAACTTCGTAATAAATTTTAATTGGCCAGCATAACCTTTTCAACTTTAAACGACAATTTATGGTGAAAAATTCAATGATATATTATTATATGTGTCGTATAATAAACACGAGGGGTATAACTGGGAAGAGGGTAAGGGTACGAAAACAGAACAGCAGGTATATACGTGTCCCCTTGGATTTTCTGCGGCCCTGACCATGTTACAAGATAATAATAGTGAGTATAAATTATAAATGACAGTTTAGGTATAATGTCCTAGAAATCTACCTCGTAAATTTTAAGTGATTTTGTTTCCAGTGGCCACGATTGAAAAACAAACTTATATTGTTACACATTATTATATATATATACGTGGACATTATTATTGTAAGTTTACAAAGTTTTTTGCTATAGCATTTTTTTTTTTAATTCGAGCCGATACAATAAATACGTTGTCGAATGATTCAAATACAATTCTGTGTTAAAGTTAAATGAATTATATTTGCTTAATCTTTGTACAATTTGGATCCTTGCAAGTACAACACCAGTTAACTTAATTTGTATTTAAATTTCAAAGTTACATTCCCAAGAAACTATTATATAAATAATTGTCTAGCACAGGGCACACCAGATCGATAGTAAATATTAACGGTAGTGTACAGATGAAATAGCTACTCAGAAGCACTCAGCTTGTACAAAATAATATAATATTATATTGAATGGACTTTTGAAAAATACACCTACTGCAGTGTATAAATGAAAAATGTAATAAAAACCGTTTTTGTATACTGGAAAATAATTCTATGATTTAGAAAACTTGAACTTCACAATACCTTTGTTGGTATGAATTTTACATGAACTTTAGGACTGTTCCATTTAAAACTGTAATATTTGACTTTTTGTTGAATATAACATGGGTGTACCTAATAATAATGTGTTTAAAATATAATATTATAATTAAAATTTTTTATTTAGAGACGCATAACGACTTTTACAATATACACCCACACGTTAATGTGTTAAATAATTACTAATAATATTAATTATAGTATAGTAATAATTCAAATGTAATGTTTTAATACACACTATAGCTGCTAGCTCGAGCCGTTTACTGAGGAAAAAAACCACTATTTTTCCTTGGTATTTTAACTCAATTGTATAGGCAACTTTGAACACAATTAAGACTTTGTATAATCGGCTAATGTTGAACGTGTGGGGCAGCTCAATGTCGGGTGAAATGCGAGTGAAACTTTGTACAACCGAATGCATTGGGTTAGAGCATTTAAAGTTTATATACGCAACAACTGCACATTCTCCCGGCAATTTCCTGCACGACCAGTTGAACAAAATAAATTAATTCGTTCCGCATCATTCAATATAATACATTATTATGATACATAACATGCGGGTTGTATCGCTATTTTTTCTGTACTTATATTATATTAATGATAATAATAATTATTGGGGCCCGTATATAGATGACTTTTTCATATTTTTTTGGTGCATCATTGACGAAGATTTTCTTTTTTGTCATTATTTTTACTTTGGCCATGACTAAGAATTTTTTTCTAAGTTTTAGGGCCTTTTTTTTACTATTGAGAAAAAAATTGGAATTAATTATTTTTCATCATTATATTTTTAATTTTATATTTTCCACCAATCAAATAATTTAGTTTTACATGGGTCTATTTCGAAAAAAAATAATTAAGGCTGTTCTTACAATGTCCTGTTAAGTATTGGTTATCGCGCGCTAGGGGCCGGAATTATATTCTTTTGCATATTTTGTTTTGAGTCTATGCAGTCAGACGGGGGTTTGAAATCTTTACAAATCATAAAACATGTGAGTTAATGGCAAAAGTTTTTTTTGCATAGGTATTTGGGAATATTTCGTATAATAAAGAATATTAGAGAATTTATCTATACATTTTTGTAGATGTTCGATATTTTTTGTTGCAGTGGAGTAAATAATATAAATTAGCACAATATATAAAAACATTTTAACGTTGTATAAATATGACAACAGATAGTTGTCAACTGTTTTCAAACATTTTTTTAGTTTAAAATTTAAAATAATTGAATATTAAATAATATTATTATTGATAATTTTATCAAAATTTTCTTAATATGTAATATTTTTTATTATGTAGGTTCGTATTTATATCAGGTTTTTTTTATTATTTTGCATATTACGTATTTATTTATATCAGTTTGTATTATTTGCTCAATTATTTTGCATATAAATGCAAATTTTTAGTTCAATAGAATAGGTATGAATTAATAAACACAACATAATTAATAGTTATTAATGATATTTTAGTAAAAAAGCATCTTTTTGCATATTTTATTATGGTTTTTAAAGAATATTGGAAGAATATTAGCATCTTATTTTGACTATTTTAAAAGAATATAATTCCCGGCCCCTAGACTTATCCCTAACCAACTGATAACAGCATTTATTCCCTGCAGAATTCCGTCGGTTAAGTGTAAGTTAA